CACGCCGCCGCACGGGCTGAGGGTTGCTGCGGGCAGGAGGCAGAAGTTGACCCTGTAACGAGGGACATCCACGGCTGACGTCGGTGAACAGGTACAACCACACGCGGCAACGGTCTGTACCGGCACCAGGCACCCGGCGCAGCCCCGGTGGGAATCCTCCTCCAGAAACAGATGCTGCGGTGAGCCTCCCCCCCTTCACAGGCTCTCCTCCCCCCCAAAAAAATTCCATAGGGGCCTCTCAGGAATCCTTGTACCCATCCACCTGGACTGGAAAGGTTGTTTGATAAACTCAACGTGCACTGAATTCATTTTGGTTTGGTTTTAAAGTGATTTGGGGTAAAGACAGGGCTAGAACTGGGTTTAAGGATACTGTGCCTTAGTGTCTGGAAAGACCCTGGAGACAGAAGCAAGCTGGGTACATTTAACTACAAGAGGACAGATTCAGAAGTTTGTGCAGCTTCAATAAAACTCTCAACAGCTACAGAACTTTTTTTCTGTGTTAATTTAATCATACAAATATTCATTTATACATTAAGGAAAAAGCTTCCTTTATTTTTTACCCCCAATGTGCTATCATAGGACTTCTCCCAGACTCAATGAGGCAACACACCATCCTGTTCTACACATGCACTCCCCCCGGAGAGAACAGACAGGCTGCAGAACCACCCACGCACTCACACACGAAAAGAAAAAAAAAAATTAAACACACAACAGAAACCCAGACGTGGGACAGCGTGCATTTCCTAACCCGGCGGGCTCCAGCTGCTCTCCTGCCCACGCGCTCTCCGACCGCACGGCTTCGCCCCTCGCTGGGGGAACCGCCTCTTCCAAACCTTTGGAGGGGTCTGCATCCAACGCTCCCGAGATGTGGGCAGCCGATTCCAGCTCCCCCACCCCCCTTCCCGTGGCATTGCCAGTTTTGGGGTAGCCCTAGGGATACCGTGCTCCAGGTTGCCCAGGCTGAGAGAGGGCGCCTGGGCTGCCACGGCTCAACGCGTGTCAGCGACACGACCCGTGCTCAGTGGCTCCCGTGGACGCAGGGATCCATTCAGAGACCATCAGAGATGTTCTGCGTGATCTTTTTTCTTCTGGAGGAGGGGGGGGGGGGGGAAAGGATCTCTCCCTTTCCCTCCTTCTCAGGACTCCGAGACAGACCGGTGTTAATCAGACTGGAGCCAGCTGCAGCCTCTCTGTCACTGCACCCTCCTGTACCAGTGGGTACCAGCCCCATCCCTCCCCCCAGTCAGGAACACCAGCCTCACTGGGGCAACAGCCTCTTTACTGGTTCACCAGTCTCAGTCTGGTAAGGATTTCCTCCCATTTCTAGCAGGCCCGCGTCCTGCGTGCGTAACTCGCACGGATCGGGTTATCCGAGCCACCGCCTGCGCTTCGGGCTCACCAAAACATTTGGCATCCAGCACTTCCGAAAAATCAGGGCATCTGTTTCACGTATCTGATGTTAAGACTCTGTGAGTTCGAGCGCATCAGCCCTACAGAAACCAACACAACCACAGTGCCCTGAAGTCACCTGGAAAGAGCTTTGCTGAATACATCTCAAATCCCTCTATTTAAAAGCTGGAAACCTGGCAGCAAAAGCAATTTGAGGGCTGGCTGCACCACTAAGCTCCAAAGAATCAGAGGAGATAAAACCACCTTTGGCCTCAGTGAAACAGTTTTTACGCGAGGACAAACCCAGAGGTAGGGCAACACTAATTTAAACGTTCTTCCACTGTCGCAGCCAGGGTCACAACCCCTCGAAGCGTCCAGAGCTCTGTGCCGTCGTTTGCAGAGATTGCTCCCACAGACAAGCACGCTCACGCTCAGCTACCTGGGGAAGAGCCGTGATGTGAGCAGCAAGAGGCCGCAGATTTCAGCAGCAGCTCGGATCTGGCCCTGCCTTTCTTCACACCCTGGAGTAAGCGACCCTTGTCACGAGGACTGAAATCACTCAAGAGGAGAGAATTCGAGTCTGTGCAGAACAAGTATGCCTTCTGAGTGGGAAAGCACACGACTACTTGGGGTGCATGCAAGTTGGTTTTTTTTTTTCCAAGAAAAAGAAAATTCAGTCTTAGGAGGAGCACAGGAACACGAACGTGGCAGCCATGATATACGGGAGGAGCATATGTGGCTGGGAGCAGAAAGCCAGCGTGGGGGTATCCGAGTTCAAGGGTCTCAGATGCCTCAGCTGACACAAGGCAAAGGTTGCAGCACCAGCTATAAACAGACTCAGATCTTAATTTCCCCCCTCTTCCACTACACCGCTGATAAAAGGAGCTAATAAAGATAAGGAACCACCTCGTCACCTGGACAAACAGCAGCCTCCAGCGTTTCAGATGCCTTCAGAAGGGAAGCGGCAGCACTGAAGAGGTGCCATGGTCAGGTGCCTTCAAAGCTGGTCGCACAAGCCACCTGCTTGGACAGGAGGGAGCGAAGAAAGAACCCCCTTGCCCACGCTACGCTGCGGCGATGCAAACCATTCCCTAGACCGAACGCTAAGAGGAGATCGCTAATCCAAGGCAAAAGGACACGGCAGGACAAGAACCGAACGCTACAGCTGCAGCGCGGCACCACCTTCCGTGGGCTCACCCTGGACCTTACCACTCACCCAGCTCCAGCTGCCGAGACAGACCAGGCGCTCACCAAACAGCAAGTGCAAATGGCCAAGAGTCCAAAGCCTGCAGCGCCTCTTTCGTGCAGATAGCTTCTTACATTCTACTTGTTTCTCCCAGCAAACAGACTTTTGAAGGGAGACTTCAGGGAACGGTGACCTTTAATAACTGAACCTCTGAAACAAACAAAATCCATCGCCCGATTCTTCCTCTGTTGCACACAAGGAACTCCCACTGTCCTCCACAAGATCCATCTGTATGCACTAAGATAAGAGAGTCCTTGCTAGCTGCAGTGAAACCGAATCCCCCCTTCAAAAGCAAACAAGAACACACAACTAGTCCAGAGCAATCCGCGTAAAGCCACACACCACGCGGCCAGCCTGCGCTCTGCTCCAACAAGACGACCGAGAGTCTTCACTGGGAAGGTCTGGAAGAAGGTAGCGGGAGCTTTGCATATCACTGTGTCTTTGGCAGGTGGCTCTTCCAGCCTCGCTCACGTTTCTGAATAAGTCTGCGGCCCCTCACCTCGCTCCCCTGCAGGAGGGCCTGTGGTGACACAGCGCTTCAGAAACCCACCACAGCACTCGAGGTCATTCTCCCTCCCCTCACACTGGGCTTCCCAACCCGTAATCGGAGGAAAATACACTGGAGGAACAACAGAGCGATTCCTCCTCTAACACCAAGCCCTGGAGAGCCCATTTAGAAGGTAAGAGCCTCCACGAAGCTACAAGCCAGGACGACAAAGGCGAATGAATACAAGGCGACAGAGTGGAATCCAGGCGACGACGCTAACTCCTGCTCTGCATTCAAGAACGCAAACCATGAGCCTCTAAGCTAACACGTTATCACAGGAGAAACGAATGCAAACTTATACTCCATAAGAGAGAGATGGGAGATTCAAAATTAAAAGGACAGGACTTTTGCAAAGCTTTGCAACTACTGCCAAGTGAATTATAGCTACAGAAAAAGAGTTTCCTCTTGGCACAAGACCGATACGCTTGCTTGGTTGCTCTAGGCACAGCTACTGTACAGCAAGAGTTAACAAAAAGGTATTTTAAAATGCTAACCACATAGGACAGCTCTGGAACATTAATAAATCCATTTCTTATTAATATGGGTGTGTATTTGCGTGTACTTCACGTACGAGGGGAAGGGAACGAGCCCTCCACGTTATCCTAGAAGTCCCAGAGTCTTTCTCTCCAACTTTGACACCGAGACCTGGTCTTCAGCATGGTTTCCAACGACATGCAGGACAACTAACAGCAACACCCAAACCAAAAGGGGAAGAAAAAAAAAAAAAAGAAGAAATAAAAGAAGATTAAAAAGTTGGTAAGTAAAACCAGCAGATGATATTAAAAATGCAGAGCTGGGCGCAAACCCAACCTGTCATTAAAAAAAAAAACGTCCGGTAACAAGAAGTCACCACACAAACCCCAGAAGATGCTAAGCAAACTCCCATTCGGCAGCAAGCAAAACATGACAGTTCCGTAAAAATGCACGCTGTCCCTTATTTAAAAAAAAATATGAACAACAAACAGAAATTAAACATTTGCTCAAACTACAACCGCTCTGTAGGCAAAATATTTTTAAGATGGCTTTTTCATTTTCATTTTTTAAACTTCTTTTTAAGCTACCTAATTATCTGTGAGAATGATTTCTAAAAAAAAACCCCCATGGTGTCGGTATATTTTCTTTCTCATAGCATTTAACAACACTCCTGAAATCCAGCATTCACACATGCATACTTAGATTTTGTATTTTCCTCTGGAAACAGCTAGTCTTAAGTTACTGGGCTTTTGTTTTTTCTTCTTTATCCAGAACACGGAGGCAGAGAAGGGGGGGGTCCACGCTGTGTCTGTCTGCCACATGAATCCCCCTCCCTTCCCCCCAAAGTCAGTTCTTTGTTAAATTCTCCTCTTGTCGATACCCGTTTTGTGTTTTTGTGTTTTAAGACTGTCCGAAGGGATAAGGACCGTGGAAACCCTGAAAGAAAGTTGGAGACATAATCAATTTCAATAGGCAAGAAATCAAACGGATCAGCGTACACCTACAAATACCGACCATCCCATCCCAGCACCTCTACACCAAACGCAACCCTTCGCCCACCAACGTGACCTTTGCTGTCCAGCCGTACGAAACACCCCTAAAACGTGGGGTTCAGCGCTTGCAGCTGGTCTCCCTGGAGGTGTCAGATGTTGGCCACTTACCTCTTTCAGGTGTCATTTAGGCCAGGTAATAGCCAGGTGTTACTGGGCCACAAAGTGACTTGTATTTTCTACACCAGAGCAAAAATCCCCTATAGATGCTACAGCACCTGCGAGGCCAAGTTTCACAAGTCTATTCTAAAAATCACAGCAAACAGTTAAGAGGCTGTAACTGGTAGAAGAGTCTATTTAGGAAAAAAAAAAAAATAAATCAAGATTTGGAAATCCACGTTCCCACAACTGCCACTTTTGCTCCCACAAGATAACAATATACATTTTCCTCAAGTGAAAAATCAACCTCAACATTCAACCAAAAAAAATAAAATCAAAATGCTTACTACAGAATCCATTTTCCCTCCTTTACATCCTGAAGTGAGTCACTTCAATAACAAATCTAGTGACAGGTCTCAAATTAACAGGCACTCCTTTCTGTAATTTCTATTGTTCAAATCAGCTATCCATGGTAAGCAGGAAGCAAAAGAAAGCGACCAAGAGGCAGGCAAGAGATCTCCCAAGTCACAGGGATATAGAGTTTGTCGTAACGCTGAAGGTACAAACCACACACAAAACCATTCTGTAAGATCCAGACACATACTGAGGTCAGAAGTGAGACGAGGGAGAAAAGCTCATTATATTTCACTGCCAAAGTGGAAGACGACCATTATGCAAGTGCTTTTTAAAACACAGCCCAGCTTCTTTCCACCACGTTGATGAGCAAGACAGCCAAGGGCTCAATTAGCACAAAGCCAGTCTCGGTCTTTAAGTGAAGCTCTGACTTCAGTTTTCACCATTTTGCCTACAACAGGGCAAATCTCAAAGGAAACACCGTTTCCTGCATGTTCGCCTACAACTCGGTAACAGCCTCAATGCATCAGCCACAGAGCCTTGAAGCAATGAGCCTTTAAAATGACGCGTATAAAGAAAGGATCAACTTCATTTGCTTAAGCCCCCTTGCAAAAACCCAAGTTCAAAAGCTCTGTTGTGTATCTGCTAGAAATGAAGGGCTGTAAGAAGCCTGTAATCTCCCCACAGCTGGTGAATCCTTTAGGATAGATCAAGTGGCAAAACACAAGATAATGGTAAAATGAAGCATCTACCAGGAGCTCTCAAAATCCAGCCACGAGGGGAAGATCAGCAGACAATTGAACAGGGCATTTCATGCACTGTGTGGGAAGCAGGGAAGACTGGGAACTTGGAAACGGCTGTTTGCAGGCAAATACATGCAAGCGGTGGAAAACCAAACGCGCTTCTACCCTAGGAATACGCTGCACTCCATTCCATAAAGCGAGCAGTTCAAAAAGATAACACCCAGCAGATTCCAGCACAATAGTTCGCCTCAGGAAGGAGAAGCTTCCATCAAAATCAAGACCGAGATATTCAGCTTTTCCAAAAAATACAGTCACAGCAACAGGGGGAAGGGGAAGAGCAGACGAGAAACGTTAATGTGACCAGGCGCACGCAAACCCCCTGAAGGACTCGGGAGGTAAACAACGTTATAAGCAAGATCCTAAGCAGTCTCACCTCAAAGTGGTTAAGCTACTCTACTTATTGCTCCGCAGAGAAAACCAGGATTTGTTGCTGATGACCTGTACAGACCCATTTGCTAGAATTTGCTTCACCTTCTCGGTACCTGCACGGGCAGCTTTGTGCGCAGACGCTGCCCGACAAGCGCTCACAAGCCACCGGGAGCGGGTTAACATCAGCAGCTCCCAGTCACTGCCCCCTCGGCCCAGCAGGGCCGGCCTGGTACCGCTCTGGTATTGTAGTTTCTGTCCCAGGCAGAATCTTGTTGATTTAACTCGTGCCGGCCGCGAGCCAAGCCATCGGCATCACCCCCCGCACCACCCGGGGATGAAGGCAGGTCACCAGCACCGCCCAGAGCCTGCAGCTGGAGTCAGTGAGAGCAGTTCAGCCTCTTTCCATAGGCAGAGCGACCCTGGTAAGAGGCCACTAACCTTGTGTTCGGGGAAACCCTCTGGAGCTTCAGATACCGTTTGCTGCAGCGCCTAATTTAAAGCTGCACAATTACGCTAATCATGCATTAATTAAAACCAGAATTCAGCTCACCTTCAGTGTCAGATTAGTGAGAACACACAGCTTTGTGAGGCGCTACACTGCACTGAACAGGCTGCCATCCCTAGACGAGCTTCTCTCCCAAGTAATTCCAAGAACAGTCCCAGAATCTGTGACCAACATTAGCTTCTGCTGATGCAACGGACTTCACCAAGAAGAAAAAGCCCCAAACCTTTGCTTTTGGGATTGCCACTTTTCACTTACCCATGAGATTAGCGGACATGAGAACTTAGGAAATCAAAACACGCTTGTTTCTTTTCTTTAAGATCAAATGTAGGCTTGGTTTAACATCAGACCCTGAGCAAGAAACTTACTCCCCTTTGTGAAATGAGAATACTTTCCTCCTTTCTCAGCAAGATGCACGCTCTCTGCAGAGCGATTGTTCCTCATGACATTTATGCAACACGCACAATGTAATAGTGTCTTGACACCTGAAAACTTCAGTCACTGCTGCAATGCAAATACCAAACTCCATTAGATGACATTTTCAAGAATAATTACCCCTCGTATGCAATGTTTTACACCACAAACATGCAAAAATAACTCTGCATACAACTGCGGTTTTTCTGAGTTATTACTTCAACTGAAGAATTATTCACACTATTTTTGGTGAATTCTTTCTCTTCTCAAAAATGAGATCGCTGTCTTTATGAAAAGCTCAGCTGCAGCTTCGAAATTTCCTTTCAGTTCTTCCAACATCTTCCACAGAAGTTATTGCTAACTTGCTAGTGACAACATACTGGCTGTTCACACCGTGTGTGGGAACAGAGGACCAGGGTTTTTTCAAGAACAGACTCTACATGAAAATTATCGGTATAAATCATCATTTGACTTCTGTATCTAGAAGGGAACTGAGAGGTTTCAGAAAGTTAAAGGCCTTCGTAAATACTGAGCTCTTAAAAAATGAAGACACCTGTGCTAGAAATAAAATGAAGTTAATCTGTCATAAAGCATCACAACACAGGCTTTCAAATAGCTATCTTTATTTGACCTTTGTGACTGAGCCAAGATCAATAAAAGGTACACTTCAAGAGAGACAGGAGTTTCTGATGCACAGCTGCAAAGCAATACAGGAGTCTCCCAGTGTACACTGACAGTAGCATCAGACAACGCTACAAGTCCCCGTTTCCTCGTCACCTCCTGGGCCGCTCCTAGTCAGTGCTTCTCCACACTACGCCGAGTTCTCTTGACTAACTTAAGTAAACTGAGCACAAACAGAAGAACAAAGTATTGAGCACTTTTTTTTTTTATTATTATTATTCCATGCATGCTGTGCAAACATGGCGTGGCAGTCGAGACCACCAGGAAGTTAAGAACCTTCTCACAGGGCAGCCACTCGTAGGGCTGGTTTAGATGCACATAGCTGCTGAAGTACACGAGGGCTCAGGTACAGGATTAAGTTACCATGCAACGACTTAGCTCTTGTAACTTAATCAACGGCGTGCTTTTAGTCTGCAGAGATAAAAACAGGGAAACTCTGTTGGCCTGCAATGGAGCAAAGTTAAGCTAAAATCAGATTATCTCACATTTCCCCCAGTCCAAGAGCAGAGGGACTGGCGGTTTTCATGGATGAGCTAACATGCAGCATCCCAACACATTAGTCTTTCACCAGGGAAGCAAACCAGCTCATGCAACACCGGTTTAGCCTGCAGATGCTATGCAGCAGTGTGGCTGTCAAAGAGTAGCTATGGTAGTTTTGAGTCCAACAAAGTTCTCCCACTTCGTTCTCAACGGATTTAACCACGTGGTAACTAGCCCGGTTTGAAGGCCAGATACCAGGATGGAAGGAGCTTCTCTTCTACGTGGAAGCAAAACATTTCTGGGGCATCTTCCTTACCCACAAATATAGTTTGGTACCCAAATAGTTTCCAGCAGAAAAATTCCTATATAAAATTTAGAGGTACCCTAAAAATACACAAATTGGAGTGCCACGGTTTGCAAGAAGGACACACCTAGAAGCAGCAGCAACTTTTAAACTCGGAGAGGGGAAGCCAGCTGAAGGCTCTACAGGTAGAGGTTTGGTTTCCCCTTACACATAGGAAGCTGTCAAGTAGCATGGATCAGAGTTCAGCTCCACACAGAATGAAGTAAGATGGGGAGCAAAAATACAGCAGGAAAAAAGGTGAAGATTTTCATTTTGTTAATTCCAAATATGCTTATATTTCAGTGGGCTTTTAAGAGCAGCACGACTAATAAACAGAACAGATTAACACCAGACAAGCTGCAGAACGCCCTTTGCTACGGTGGTGACTATGCAAATTGTTCTGTATGGGCAAATCTTTGCAGAATCAGAACTTCTATGTGCTGTTTTCTGCATTACACAGAAAGTAGCAATTCCTCAATTCATATGGGCAACAGATTTAGATATATATATATTTTTATCTATAGGTGACAAGTACAATCTGAATGTCAGTATATGGCTATCCACCTCAGATCTTTTAGACATCTAAACCTGTACGTTTCTTTCCTTAGTTAAGAAATTTAACTCTAATTCCCCAGGCACTGTAAGACTGCATCTTGCGCTTTTAATGTAAAAGACCGTCACAAGAGAGCAGCAGTGACCTCGACAGTGTTGCTATGAGACAGGAGCGAGTAAATAGAAGGAAGCTCTATTAGCCTCATCTCTCTCGAGAATCCAGAGAGAAAGCAATTGCCAACGAGGAGAACAAAATACCCATGCACGGGTATATCTGGACTCTAATACAGCTCATCCCTATCCTGAGATAAGCATCCTATCCTGCACTTAAGCACATCTTTAATTCTAAGAACATGCAAAAACTCCACTGGGGATAGATAGAATGACAACATGCTTAAAGCAACGCCCTGAACACAGACCCTGATCTACGACCTTCCAGCAGTTTATTTGATAAAGAGGAGCAGGGTGGACCCAGGGAAGGCGTACGAAAAAAAAATAAAGATCACACTCAGTCTGTTTCAACCACCGCAGGTTTCATCTTATCTCCTTACAAGGAATTCAGCATCTTTCGTTTGTCTTTTTCCTACAAAAGTTAGTTTCACTGCGCAGAGCATCCAAACCATGCACTCTGTGCTGCTCTATAAAGACCTTTTGCATGTTTCCACGTGTGAAACGCTGATACACTTGTCTAATCCAGCAGCAGATGGCACATCAGTGTCGCTGAGATCCTGACTCCAATGGGGAATTTTAGAGGACAAGTCACACCTGCTCAGTTGCACCAGAGGGAGAACTAATCCAGACAAGGTCTGGCAACTTCTAGTATGTTTTACAGCTGCAGACGCCAGAAACTGCTAGTTTTATCTCGAAGATTTCACGGTCCTGTGCAACTGCATGACTGGGGTTCTCCACAGTCTCTTGGCAGAGAGGAAGCCTCCACAGTGATCCAAGAAAAATTTAAGGGCTTATATTACTCCTAAACAGGGGACATAGGCCCTTCTGAACGCCTTAACTAGACCTTACCCCTCCCCTTCTCTGTATCTCACCAAACAGTGTCAAACATGACTCGGGATTCACTCCACTCTCCTGGTACATGAAAGCAAATGAAAATATTGGAGGTCCTGCCCAAGATGAATACAATCCAGGAATCCTAATGTGCAACTGCCTAAGCAACCCACAGGACTCTTGCCTGCTCCTAGAACTTGAAATAAAGCCTTTCGCACCAATACCCAGCCACAAGACAACAGCTCCAAACACAGTAGTTTTCTTTCCCCCTCTCAAGCAGCAGAGTACAGGTCAAGTCCCCGGGGAAGATGGGCCAGACACAGCTTTTCCTAACTTCCAGGTACTGGAACACCATCTGCTGATGGGGTGGTTTAATGCTTCCAACATCACCTCTTCTGCTTAAGTGGTATCCCCAGCTAGGGCTCCGGCTTACTAAAAAGGGGTAATGTGTAAAAAAAACCAAACCAAAATGAAAACAAACAAAAAAAACCCCCAAACCCACTTTTCCAGATTGCAGGAAGAAGGCATGTAGTAGTGCTAGACCTACACCAGGGAAGGTGAGCATGTTCACCTAGTGATTTTAAACAAGACCCAGCATCTAGGATGTCAAACCTACTCAAACTTGCTCACTACAGAAACAGTATTGTACCAAAATGAACATTAAGTCTGTGGCAGAACGTCTCCTGCTCTGGGCAGGATGGGCAAGGCTGGAACGGGACTCTGATCTTCAGATCTACCTTAAGAGCCTCCAAAGGAAAAGCTAACTTGTTTTATCATGTCACAAATACACTGTAGTAGAGACAAAAAAATCATCAAAAAAAAATAATCAATGAACTTTCACATACCCCACCCCCTCTCCAAAATAGGACCATCAAGCTACCCCTTCTGAAACAAGCAAGAAACAAGATTTCTGCTTTTATCTCAGATAATCCACCTCAAATCCACCCAAGAATACTCTGTAAATACAAAAAGAAACCAAAAACTCAGGACAAAAAGAAAAAGGGGGTGGGGAGAAAGGCCACCTACCCTCCATCTGAGGTTAGATTATAATGGCTCACTTCTCATAAGAGTACTGATCATGAACTTTGGGTTACTAGCTAAATCAGCTTACTTAAATTTACTGAAATCCCCTCCAGTAGTGCTTCACGCTCCTTTTTGGCATTTCCACAGTATAGCTGACCTTTGCTATGGCCTCTGCACCTCCAAGAGGTATCCGTTTCTTACACCTATGTTCTTGGAAACAACAAATCATCTACTCCTCGGCCAAGAGAGCCCAACCTCCTGGTGCCCAAACCACTCTCGTCCCACTAGGAAGGGTAAGGATACATATCACAGGGAGAGACCTAGTGAAAACTGAAGGCCACCTTACTGCCAAAACCCCACATCCAGAATTTCTACACAGGAGGTTTCTCAGAAGTGCATATATTAGCAGTTCCACATCTATCCACCTGCAAGCGCAAATCAACTACGAAGCAATTGCCAAGCTCTACAGTCAGAAAATAAGGGGGGGGGGGGGGGCGGGCACAAAGCCACCTCCAGCCTAAAGCTGACCACTTAACGTGGAAGTGAGCTCTCCCACCTAAATCAAACCTAGTTGTTTAGCTATGAAAGGCTGCGGTCAGTCCACCATCTCACCAAAGCTCTGTTAACCGATTCTTATTTTTCATCAACTGATACACGGAGCTGGTACCAATCTTTGCCGGGATCTGTTCAACAGACAGCTGTAGAGCAGTACCCCCCACCTGAAGCACCCGAGTTTGGGCAGAGACGCTGTATCGCTATCAGACGGTCTCTGCCGTCAGACAACAGCCTGTCTCTTCAGGGAACAGCGCTAACCACCGAGCAACCACTAAAAGGCAGCGACTTTCAGTCCCTGCTCATTCACGTTGTATTTGAACTGATAGGTGAAAGGCTTTAATTTTTAATCATTTCCTAAGCCATCCATTTCACTTTCAGGGAGTGAGAATTTTGAAGCAGGAGCCAATACAGCTTAGAGCACTTTACGTTTGGGGTGCCAAACACAAACAGGGGGGTCGGCAGTCTGTCAAACGGTTAAACCCGCGCATGCCATCAGTAAAAAAATGCATAGCCCTGGTGCAAAGTAGGTCACTAAAATATGATCCACTGGTAGAGGACAGGCAGTTCATCCAGTTAGGAACTAAAGTGCTGTAGGTGAACTAACATTAGGGCTTTATTAAGTCATTCAGCAACCAAGTGTTATTGTCCTACACAGCCTGCTTAAAGTACAGTAAAGCATTTTTAAAGGATTAAAAAAAAAAATCAAACTAGTTTGACATACGACAGTACACACCTACACATACTGGCTGCATTAACAGGTGGATTCTGAATTGTAAATAATCCTGCAATTCATTTGTCACACACAAGCAAATAAAAACAGTCAAAATATCACCCAGACTCATATAGCATCCACCAAGCAAGCTTTTGAGAGAGATTTAAAGTAAAGGTAATTTAAAAGTCACCTACAATTATAAACAAGACAAGGACACAGACAGGAATAGTCCTTTGATTGACTGTTCCTGACAGGTAGATTCTGGGATCAAAATGTTGAGCTCTGTAGTCTCCCCACACCAGCTAAACCAAAGTTATCTGGTTAATCTCAGGGTTTGGGGGTGTGGTTATTTTGTCTCTTTTCAAAGTGATGTAAAACTCAGGAGCACATCTAGAGAGATATTTTGACTTATTTGCACACGCAACTGGAGCAGGCTCCAGCCACCAATAGTTACAGCACCCAGACAAGATTATATAGATTTAAGAAGGACTTGAAAAAAAAAAAAAAACCAAAACCAAAAAGGTGGATCTGGTAGAGTCTATCAGAGGCAAAAATATTTTAATATAACATGAGGAGTTGGCAGAGTCAGACAGTCAAATTCAAAACCTTCCTTAGCAGGTCTGGCAGAAGCAGAAGGGAAGGGCTTTGCAGTTTGTAACGAAGAACTATTACATACACCACAGTCTCATCACCTACCCATTCTCCTGTTCTCCCAGGGCACCTACCTTACTGTACGTCACTACCGACAAGTTGTTCGAGTGACTGCTGGGGGAGAGATTTACAGAGTTTTGTGACAGTCCATTCTGATCTTGTTCGATTTGGTCAGGAGCAGGCCCCCATGTGTTTTTGCTGATTGTGCCTAGCTCGGAACCCCCAGGGTCTTTTAGGTTGTTTTCATCTGGTTGCCTGTTCTTCTGTGGAGAGGCGAATGGGTTAAAGTTTCCTTCTACCTTGCGATGCGGTTGCGTGTTGAACTCCGTTTCAAAGGATGACAGCTGCTGCGTTACACCTAGAAGTCCTCCAACTTCCACGCTGAGGATCACCCAGATGACATCTGAGGAAAGAGAGAGGAGGACACTCAGGTTGTCACTAGACAGAGCTTACGAAGGGGGCAGAAGGAGAAAAACAGAACGTGAATTCCGTCCTTTACAGCTGCAAGAAAAAAGACTAATTGTTTATAACACACTTTTATGAAGCATCAGAAGTACTGGTTAAACACTGATTCAGTGTCCAATCTTTGAAGAAAACCAGGCAAGTTTTACTCCGACTGAACTTACACAAACCAGCTAAGAACATCTGAAAACCAAACTGACGTGACAACAAAGTTCAGATTACCAACAGGATGCACTGAAAAAAGAAAACCTTAAGTGACTTTATCTAAGGCTATGCAGCAAGACTGAAATGAGAGCCAGGAGATGTCACTGCCAATCGTCTACTCTGATGGTAATGAAAAGGCAATGTTTTTTGTTTAGCTTTGAAAAGCTTGACTACTAAAATAAAACAAGAGAAGGGTGACTTAGAAGGTAATTATGTTTATGACAATTATTCCAGTTCCAAAACACTCACAGTAGGTGGAGAAAATACCCAGACTTGGTGGACTATTACACAAGTTCACAGACGACTGGTTAGAATAAGAAACATATTTACAGTTCTTACCTAATGCATGTCTGTCTTGTACACAGATAAGATTGTTATTTTACTTACCATTTCATTTACACGTCATGCAAACATTCTGGCCTATTTACATAAATACATTTCTTGGTATGTATCCAAATTCAGTTTTATTGCCTTTTTTTTTCCCACCCCTCCATTAAATGCGCTCCAGCCTCTTTTTGCTGCACAGGGAGGGAGCACGAAAAAGAACAGCAGCAAACCCTTATCTCCTCTCAGCAGATCTGGTAACAGCACCTCGTGTCACACGTAACCGTTTCCAGGTTTTCTGCACTCAAGTGTTAACCTACAAGGGGCTCTTTTGTGCTGCCGCTGGCAGCCTGGGGAAGCAGACAGCAGCTACCTGTGCCCTGTTACCCCCACGGCACCAGTCCCCCGCAGCTCTCCCCCCGGCTTTAACAGCCCTGGGCTCATCAGTTTGCGTTTCACCACCCAATTCAAGACAGCGGGGTCTGACCCCACAAAACCACGACTCCCTCCAGGACCCCCAGCACCCTGCCAGGGCTGTAGCCCCCTCCTGAACACCATTAAGGCCCCCCAAGGGCTCCCCACTCCATCCCCACGCCC